GATCAATATTGTTAGAGATAAACTAGAAGCTGCTTTTTAGAAAGTGCTTGAGAATGCAAGGAAATTTAATATACTTTATTTAAAATGGGGCAGGCTACACGAAATTAACTCCACACCTCCAAACATATATTTATTCAATATCGTACTTTCCCAATTAAATGTCATATAACTAATAAAATGTCTCATCTTCTTGACGTAATGTTTCTTGATGCAAATGAAGCGGTTTACCAAATTGACGAATTTGAGGTTGCGAATATCAACTTCCGATCCATTACTTAAAATTTTGCGCACGCTTTATGAAAACGATTATGCACAATATCCATGTATACCGTGTTCATATTGTTCGCAATTACTATACCCGCATTCAACTAAATGGAGCTAAGAGTTAAACTACCATTTATCCTTTTCAAACTATTTTACCAGAAATATGTCTTACAACGCATCCGAGAAATCTTTCAAAAATTGTTGTGCAGCAATTGTAAATCTCATCCAATAATCGAATCAATAGTATACTGCTTTAATACCTGCATGTATTAACGATGTTTTTTATGCGGAAAAGAAAGTACTTTTCTCCCATTTTCTTACATACCAGTTTGGGTCGTTCTGCTGGTGTAAATTCTTTGTTAATTATACTGTAAGTTGCTTACTGGACAAATGGAATAGTGCCCTTTTATAGAACAATCTGATTTATCTGAACCAAATAATCGCCGCTATCATTCATTGTTACGTAATGCTAGTGAATGGTTGCAACAAAATAATCTGCATACATACCACTCCACTCCCTAACTTTCTCAACGCATGTTTAAAAATTATACAAACCTTCCAGCTGAAGTTCACCTGGTGCTCGTGTAATGTACTGTATCTTACCAATGACATGATCAGAGACGGAATATGCAACGGCACTGTAGGTATTGTTACCAGCATTGATCATCACGTTTTTTGGTATCGCACGTCTGATACATGCCGTTATCTCACCATAAACATCTTATTTTTGCTGCTGGACAAGCATACACAGCATTGAGTCGGATACCATCGCGGAATGTTGTAAAATTACCTTACTCAAACAGAAGTGCCTTCTCTGTTGATACGCCTGTGCTTTGTAATCGCAACAGATGGGCCACGTCTCATTCATACGTCTCATTCATTATTTGTTTCACTGACTCCTCATATGACCAATTATTTTAACCCCATTTCGATTTAGTGTTATTCTATTTTTATAATTACTTGCTTTGTATTTGTTCATGTTTTATATTCCTTTCCTTTAATGTTTACATAACCCTATTAACTACTTACATGTAAACCTTATTAAACATCAGCGTAGCGATAGTATTAATACATAAGTTCTCATTAGTCTATTTAGTTAAGCGTCATCCCGAAATCGCTATGTGCGCAACGAGCAGTTTTGCTAACTGACAATCTGATTATAGTCCAGCAAGTTACCGCTTACTGCAATAACTTAGAGGGAAAGTGATGCTGCGGAATTAGTGTATTATGCTACTGCGGACTCGTTACGCCACAGATTTTCTGCGCTTCCGCAGTAATCATTAAGAAATACTCCAGTAAGGTTGACTCTTCTATAATAATAACTAGTGAAAAGGCTGTGCTGATTTTGTGCGCTTTGGAGATTATCTTGTGTATCTGTACGATCTTAGTCTGCCATTATCTGACAAACATTGATGATAATGGTAGATTTAACTATATTAAGATGGCGGATGGGCAAACAGACTAACGTTGTTCGCACACACACGCATATTATCATTGACGTATAATACTTGTGAACTCACTTGCCTACTCTTTGTTTTTTGCGAGTAAAGAAGATATGGGAATACCAGGCTTATTCACGCATGTGTAGCTTACGTTGATACTTTTTGGTATATTATGGATATAGTTGAATCAATCTCTCACCGGTCTTTGCCATATACAGTTACCTAGCGAATTCAGAAGATTACAAAGAATCTATAAAATATGTTTCCACAGCCAAATTTGATAAACCAGGCGACATATCAGAGCCCAATTCCAACAACATAAAGTGTGACAATTTATATCTAGACATGAACTGTATCATTCACTTGTGCTGCCATAAAGTTGAGTCATTTATTTTCTGACTTAATCACCCGGTGTGGCTAATCGATTGAGCTAACATATTTTTAATCTACCTAGTCACTATCACCACTGCAAGCAGATGATGAGGTGCTGAACGAAGTAGTAAGCTATATCGAATGGTTACTCTCAGCCGTGCGCCCACAAAAACTGTTATATCTGGCTATAGGTATTGTCAAATTTTCAAAGCAGAAGAGTGACCGGCGGTGTGCAGCTCACATGGTTTCGTGAGAATAACAGACATCACTACTGATACGAAAAAGCTTGTTTCAAGAGACTTTACTAATGTTGATTGATGTCAATATGTAGACGGAGTTGCCCCTCGTGCCAAAATGAATCAACAGCGCTCTCGGCGATTTCTAACAGCTCAAGAGTCAAATGGAAATACATGGGATACCAATTGCATTACTCCTGGTATGCAGCAACTGTTTCGAGATTTGTATAGCATGCATGCTAAGTCTGTCTGCTCCGCTCCGTGTGTAGGTACAGAATTCATGACGAAACTTGCCGATCGTTTACGATGTTGGATTGCAAGAAATCTGACCAGTAACAAAAGTTGGGAAAAGGCAAGTACTCTTTTTTTGTTTAAGTTTCAAACTTAACCAAACCAAAAAGTAACATCTTCTCTATTAACAAATAATCGTTCGCTTATAGCTTTTAGTTATACTGTCTGATGCGAGCGTTCCTGGCGAAGGCGAACACAAAATTATGAATTTTATTAAAGCACAGACAACGCCCGCTAAAGATTTTATTTACAGTGTGGTAAGAAGATTGTTTCGTCAAGGCTTTTTATTGCTTTTTGGTAACTGTTTCGTTTATCCGTTTATACTGTTTATCTACAGGATGGAGATCTTATCTTGCTATCATTGATGCAAAATGAAAAACATATCGACATACTTCGTCCGAATCAAGGAAAAGGTCATACTCACGCATTGCACTATATCAAATGGTTCTTTATTGCTGATAAATATTTTGTCATCAACCCAAATCTATACAGGCTTAATAATTCTGTCAGCTAACACATTGCAGCAACGCCTGGCAAAAACACCCCCATTCTTTAGAAGCAAGGACGCAATAAACGATTGGGTGTTTCTTTGGTGTCTTGTCAAAAATGACTATTTACCTCGCCTGCCCACTTTCGAAATGGCAGAAGTTTCCTTTGATAAATTAATAGCTATATGGTGGAAAATATGTGGGGATGAATGTTTGACAAGCAATGGAACTGTGAGTAATTGCACGTTAACGTTATATCAGTAAAGTTACTATGAATAATTGTTTGCAAAATCCTGTAGTTAAACTTGACACAGTTTGAATCTCTTATGAAGGAGTTGACCAAAGAGGAAGGAAAGAGTAAGCATAAAATAAAAAGGTTTACGCATTACCTTTACACGTAACGTTAACTGACATTACAAATAGGAACGATGCAAGAAGCCGTTGGTGCTCAAAACTATGATGGCCTCAGGTAATAAAGACGTAACGTTAAAATGAGAGAATTTATTTTATCATTCCCTCCTTTTATACTCTGACCAAATTTTACAATACGATAGGCTGGGGGAACCAGGATTTAAAGAGTGTTATTACGAGAAACATTTTGGCGAAAAGTGGACTTTGGAGTTTTCCAGAAAGTAAGTTAACGTTTGTTACTTACCAATAGCTATTTAACTGTTTTTCTTACCATTGATCAATTTCTTAAGAGTTGTACAAGCATACGTTCAAGGGCTTTGCTGGCTATTGGAATATGATCATCGGGGTGTTTGTTCGTGGAGATGGTTCTATCCTTTTCACTACGCACCTTTAGCATCTGATTTTGTTAACCTTGTCGAGATTTCCAAATTCGATATCGACAAGCCTTTCAAACCCTTTGAGCATTTAATGGGAGTAATGCCGATCACAAGGTTTGATTTTCTATTTGGTTTCCAACGTTAAAAAAAACAACTTGCAAAATATTTATCTGTTTATTTGACAGCAAAAATCTCTTACCTCAACCTCTGGCAAATTTGATGGTTGATGAGAATAGCAGCATCGCTGAATTTTATCCCGAGAACGTTCAAGTCGACCGTAAAGGTAAGAAATCTAATACAGGGCATCGTTTGGTCCCTGCGTAATGTATGACTTATTACGCACGCAGCCACGAATGGTTGAACTAATTCTTAAGTTTATAAAGTACCTCCTATAAAAGATGTCGTACTTTTGCCATTCGTTAAAGAAGCTAACTTGATAAATGAAGTCAATAACGTGAACAGCAAGTTAAATGATGCTGAAATAGCTAGAAATAACGAAGGAAATAATATTGTATGCTTTAGTACAAAGCATAGTCTTTACGATAATTTGCTTGATAGATTTCCCGCTGAGTATAAGGTAGGCACGGCACGGCACGGTTATTGCATTTTAAACAGTCTATTGTTCTCGAGCTAACGCAACATTAATTTATACATAATCTGCAGTATAAAACTCTAAAAAAGTAGTCGCATTTATTGCTCGAGGGCCCAAGCTTTGATTTAAACGTCACCTTTTTTAGT